ATTCAAACCTTTTACAACAGAATCAATTATTAGTGAAAGTTGTTTTACAGCAACAAATAAAATTTTTTTTTTTCTTGCGAATCTTAATATTTAAATTTTATTGAATGAAAAATGGAATAGCAGAATGCATTATAGTTTGATTAAATGTTAAAAGATGATGTATTATTTATGTTCATATCAAGATATCAATTATTATTTTAAAAGCTTTGAGAATTAAAAATAAAGTGGCTATTTTTCATATCGGTTAGAAATTTGATGAGAATTCTTTGTTTATTATGTTTGATATGTAAAAAATTAAAAGTAATGCTTAGGCGACCTTCATCAATAGTAAATTTTTGAAGAAAAAGGATGGTTTGTAGCTCGCTGATCTATTGATCGCAATGGCAGCTCACTTGGCTAATTTATTCAATTCCCGACTATTAAAAATTTGCCTCCGATCCATTGAGTGAGGTGCTTGAAAACACTCTTAAACAACTTATTTCAATTACCGATGTTTATGTGATTTAATTTTTTCCGCTAGCCAATAGGATAGTTAGAGGTCGGGGCCGCTTTAGGGACCGAGACCAAAAAACGTTAATGGACCGGTCTTATTAGGACCGGACTGATCCATCCCTAACCCTAACTAAATTTGAACCTTTATATCCAATCCTAAAACTGCATCCTAACTCTAAAAATAAGAGGTGGTAAAAATCTTAAAAAATTTAAATAATTTATTATATATTATGCTATATACGTAATAAATATTTTTACTTTAGAATTACAAATTGTATTTAATTTATAAATTATACTGCAAAACTATAACATCAATGTTTATATATGTATATATATATATAGAATATTAATTAAATTTCTATAACAATGTTTTTAATCAAATCATTAACGGTTATCTTCTAAATCCAAATTTTAAATCAATATACAATAAAACTGTACAAAATTAATCTTTGTTTTTCGTAATATTAAAATTCTAAAACAAATCGACTACATGACTTTTTTTTAAACTCTATTTAAAAATTTTATACAATATTCGCCCGGTTAAAACAAAAAATTAAATGTTTCCAGAATTTGACCCTGCCGGGCTATGAAATTAAGAAATTAATTTTGTACGGTCTAATTCAGTGATGGCATTTGGACAAGTTTTGGCAATTGAACAAAATTGTCCAAAAACCAAAACTTACATTTGGACAAATACAATAATCACATAATTTAATTATACAATCTGATTGGTCAAATTTATTACTATATAACGATAAGATGTATATACGTACTTTATATAATAAAAATATTGGACAGGCCAAAACTAATTTGGACATGTCCAAAACTATCCAAAGTCCCAATTAAGTTTTTGGACATGTCCAAATCCATCACTGGTCTAATTAAATCAATTATTTTAAATTTTGTTTTATGGCTTCAATAAGAAAACCATTAATAAATATAAGAGTTGAAAAGTTTTTTTTTTTTTTTTTTATCATAATTATTATTTTATCAATTTATTTACCCAAATCTTCCGAACCAGATATTGTAACTTCGATACTCAAAGTATCATAATGATCATCACATGTAACCTTCAAATTGATAGTATCTTTACCACCTTCCTTTTGCGCATGATCACTTGGGCGATAAACTAAGGAATTTAACAAGCTGTTGACATCCATCTTGGTTGGTTCATTGATTGTCATAGAAATTTCACTTAAAGTACCACCATTAAGATTGAATGAAATCTTTCCGTTTTGTGCACTAGCATTAATGGTAGCTTTATTAATTTTGTATGGACCACCTCGTATGAAAATTATATTTAAGCCTTGAAATTGTCCATTTAATGATCCTGAATACTGTGTTAATTTTTCTGCTGTGGTCGTGGACACAAATTGATATTTCTTGGGACCCTCTAAACTGAATGGGTACGATGGTTTACTTTTATAATCTGGTTTTCCATCTTTTACTAATGGTGCCGGTGGATGTGGTATATCCAATGAAAATTTTTTTATGAGCAAGTCAACAACGCTACCTTCCTCAATCAATTTAGAATTTGTTGACTTGCCATACAAGTGAATACTCCATGACTCTCTCTCAATTTTTTGCAACTCTTGACTCGCAGTTGGATCAGATTTTAGTAGGTCAACGATTTGAATATAATCGCGAGGATAAAGAATTTGATTAGGAAGTATTTTAAGTCCATTTTCTTCTAGCAGTGTTCGATATTTTTTCACATATTTTGTGATCCCACGAGGACCTAAGCAATTGAAACATGAAGTTGGAAAAGTTTCTGAAAGTGTATTTTCAATAAATTCTCTGAACATTGCCCATCCTCTACGAAAACGCATAACACCATTCGGCAGATATGTGCCATTTGTGTCCAATGTCCATTCGAGATCTGCAGATAAACTGGAGAAGTCTGAACCAATAAATTCCATATTATTATCTGGTGGAACACGAATCCAAAGAGCATCCATATCCATATACATTCCACCATATTTATATAAGAGTACACTCCTCATATAATCAGCAAGATAATAAGGGAAATATTGTGCTCCTTCCCATTTTTTCCAATCTAAAATCCAGTTTTTGGAGTTTACACCAAGGAACCATTGTCTTTTTAGTATTAATTCTTGATCGAAGTTAATTACATGAATTTGATAACCTTGTTTTTTATATTCATCAAAAAATTGGTTTGGAAGTGTGTTTGTTACAACAAAAATAATTGCCTTTGGATTGTGGACCCAAACAAGTTCAATTGTTTTGTAATGCCGTTCTTGAAAAGTTGATTGATCCGTTGTCCAGATCATCCAATGTAGCAAATGCCATTGATCTGTCTGCGAATAAACCGATGAGTGTTGAGAAAGAATACCGGGTATTATCCACTCATCCTCTTTACTTCCCATTATTGCATTTACTGGCTCATCAAATACTAATGAAGAATCATTTTGATCTATTATTGAAAAATTTTCGTGGTGAAGTAATGTGATACCTTTTACATAGTCACAATCAAAATTCCAATCTTTCCAATGGTTGTCTCTTCCGGCGCACGGATAACACAAAGCACAAAAACGTTGCCTAAATCCTTCACATAATCGCCTATTATTGATGACATTTTCGTACATATCAATCATACTTAGATCAGGGTCATAACTATCACTAAAATGTTTTGCAATCATATCATCTTCACACACATCTGCTTGTTGAATGCGTTTATCATGAATCGGTTTAATATTATAAGGAAAGAGCCATATGCCCAAATTTTGATCTTCGTTTTTAGTGAAAATGCGTGGTGAATCTGTAGCAATTAGTGAAATAATATCTCGAGATAAAATATAGAGCGCACCGGCTGTGAAAGGCGGAAACATAGGCAATGGGTACTCAAATTCAGAATTTTTATTTGCAGAGTTTTGGATTGGAGGAATATTCCTACAAGATATAATTTTTAATTAGTTTATAAAAAAAAAAAAAAAAAAAAAAAAAAAAAAGTGAAACATCTAAGAGACGACCTTTACCAATATCCTAGCCCTTTCCAATAATACCTTTTACCGGGACCCAATTCACCCAATTCACGTATGACAGTATCCATACGTACAAATATATCATCATCTGTTTTGATCAGGTAATCAAAATCGAGTTTATTCGCCCATTCGAAACTCTTATAAACCTTGTGACTAAGGTCGTTATAAAGATCTGATGATGGCACAATGACAATATCACCACATTTTTCTGATTCAGCTAAAATTTTGCTTCCCATAAATTGCTGTGCTTTTGCTGAAGGTTGGGTTCCGAGAATGAAACGGTAGGTAATAGAAACTTTATTAAAGTTCTGAGGAATCAATTTTATTGAAGTATCACGAAATTGTTGACGTTTAAAATAACTACTCTCGGTCCAGGATGACAATACTATCATTATTACTTTAATTTCAGCATCAATATTAATTTCACTTAGTGATAAGCTAGTGTTTAATTTGTAATTGGCAGGACTCATACTGGGTCTATGTCGGAACTTTGATTGTTGATCGAGAAGGCACATCATAGTAATAAATGAAGCAATCGCTAAAGGGAGTATAATACATCGCAAAATATCTCTCAATGTTATTTTTGATGCTTCAGGGTCACCAGGCTTAAAGTGCTTTGTAGTTGAAGTAAATAGCCATTGGATAACATTACTAATAGCCAAAACAATGCTACATATCACCCAAGTCCAAACTGGTTCATCATGCCCGTAATGTGAAATTACAAAAGCTGTGACAACCCAATTAATTGCTTGTAAAGAAATGAGGCGGATTATTGCGCTGGTGATTTCGTAATAAAAGAGCCATCGGCGCATAAGTCCATCTGCCAGCCAATAACTCCAAAGACCGGCCAAAAGGCACTAAAAATGAGCAACTGAAAAGTGAGTTGACCGATTTTTTCCACACGGTATATAAGAATTTAATATAGATCGAACTGATTTTCAAATCCTGAAACTTTATTTAAGTACAAAGATTCAAATTATTAATAGCAATAAAAGATAAATACCATAAAATACTAATTAGTAACATTTCATGCACCATGATACGCACTTTAAGCAATCTAATCATCGTTGTAGTTGTTTATAAACACACTACATAATCTTTTCTCTCAGGTTGATCAAAGATCAGTTATCTATAAATTTGTAGAAATAGCAAATACTTACCCACATAGCGCCAAGCCAATAGTCCAGTTCGGTACTCAGCTCCAATGCGCTGCCTGCATTACGTAAAGGGACTTGGCTGGCAGCATATATAAAGGAAATAAAACTATAACTGGCTGGAACTAAACTAAGGCCTCGAAGTAAGAAGAGAATACTGTGAAGTCTACGGGGCACACCAATTATTGAACGATTCAGGCCAAACCCTATAGCACTTCTAACAGTTGGGAGGTGTGACTACTTTGGCCAAAAATTTTTGAAATTGGTGAGAATTTCAAATAATAATGCAAATATCAATTATAAAAATGCATGAATTTGTCGTTACCATATTATAAAGTTTCGCCAGCTAGAATGAGCGTAGCAAAGTCCAATTTGATGATTAAAAATGCTTCCGTTGACTGATAGACAACAGTTTAGAATGTGAAATTGTTTAGATAAGTGCTTTGTTTTTTTTTTTTTTTCGAAGAAAGAAATTTTGATTTATACCATATGAGGATTGAGTTTACAAATAACCAATTAATACCAAGACAAGGCATGTAGTAGATCAGAATATTGTCACGGGATAAATTTGGATATCGATTCGGAAATATATATTTTATGTAACTTTATTCAATTATCAATTATCAATTATGACGTACAGTACGTACGTAAGTACGTGCTTTGACATTTGAAAGACAAAAAAAAGGCTCTAGATATCAAAAATGCAATTTAAGAGCCTATACTTTTGAGTTGAATAGTACGAGGGTATTTGTATGGAAACAGAGACACGGGAACATTGTGTCTAGCATTACTAAAGATTTTTTTTGAGATAATAAAAATTTCTGTGTATTTCAGTATAAACCATAATGATAAAACTTACTTCCACTGATTACTATAAAAATAATTTGCTTTTTTAAATTATAACAGTCACTACGTACGTACGTAAATGCAGCTTCCCTTAACTGTTAAATGAAAACTAGAGATGCGCAGTGTTATAAATTCAAAAAATTTTTATTGGCGCAAACACAAGAAAAATGCACACAAAAAAGAAATTTATACGCGCT